GCATTCCTGTTCGCAGTGGCCGGTAATAACATCAACAGTACATGCCCACTCAGTTAAATCTATAGACGAATCCAGGGTGGATTCTTGGGGCGGGGCGGAAAGGGGAGAAGGGGGAGAGGGAGGAGTAAGGGCAATGGGGAAGAGAGGGCGAAAAGTGCCCCTCCCACCCTGGAATTATGCAAAAAATAGGAATAGAGTTGTAAAACTTCTGCTTAGAGTTACTTTAGTTTTATTTATGGACAGAATCGGGCTTTTGCAGTCCTTCGCCTTTTCCTCCTCTCTCCCCCTCCCCCTACCCCTCCATCCTCAATCCGCCTATGTTTAAATCCTCTTGAAATCCAACTTGCTCCCGCAGCTGCTATCCCACGGAACTTCTTACATTAGCACACCAGACTGCTTCAGGGCCATCCACAGCTTTAAGCTTAGTCCTTCAGTAGCTTGCATCTACAGAAACCTAAATTATCGCTAAATACCACCTTTATTTAAGCTACCGCTTTGCAGGGAACCTAAAGCAATGAACAGTGGGAATGTGCGAGCTCTCATTATTTGATGAGCCGGAAGAAAAGAAGGAAAATGCTTGGAATGGAATGGATGCCAGATATCTATTCTTGTAAATGTCGTTTTTCAAAATTAAAGACAACTTCAGTAAGAGGAAAACGAGAGGGCGGAGGCAGAAGAAATTTTTAAGGATGATGAGGGACAGGCCTAGTGAAAGAATGGAGTTTTATCAAGATGAGGGAGGGAAATTAAACTGGCAGCTTAGAGACGGAGAAAGCAAGCAAAAAACGATAGTCAAAAATGTCCATTGAGAGCTATTAGATGGTGAGCCGAACAAACACTGAAGAATTTTAGTTAACACAAGAAGCTGATAAAAGCTTCCAAGAATGTGAGTATTAGGCCGCACGCGCAAACATACATTCACACACACACACACACACACACACACACACACACACACACACGCATACTTACATACACAAGTTTATTTCTTTTTTTTCTTTTCAAACGTCACAAAGTTTACTCCGCTGTAGAATGATAATGCATTTGTCTGTGCTCCAACAACTGCTCCTTCTTTAGCATTCAACTGCTCATTGGCATCGTGTCAAAGTGAGCAAATATATATCAACAAAAGCAACACTGAATAAACAAACAAGAGTTAAAATTCCATAATCAATCTCAAAATTCCCGAAAAATAACACAATAAGAAATGCCTGAAAGTGCCATCGAAATACATCCCTGCATTTTTGCTCGAGCCCTCACTGAGAGTGAAATACAGCAAAAATTTTTGACTAGGTATTCTTGTTTTATCTTTTGGTAGGAATTTTGCAGCCTGGTTGCGCTTGATCGTCTCCCTTCCGCGAAACTCCATACTGATTTCTCAAGGATTTTAGAGCCAGATTCTTCATACTCATTTTTCCGCTTTTTTGCGTATTCATGCAAATGCAAAAACACATATTGGCAAGAGGTTGTCTCTCTGTGTCTAGCTATTATTGTCGAGACTGTGCACTTTGCACAACTGATAAAATGCGATAAAATAAATGGCTTAAAAGACAGCTGACAATCATACATACAAATATACATATAAAAAAATTGCCAATATTTCAGGAAGTGAAAAAAAAAACCCTCACTCGTATAATCGTGCAGCAGAAACTGGGAATACAATTTTAGATCTGCCAAGAACGGTTTCGCGGAATAT